TGTCCAATGACAAGATGTGTGGAGTCTGTTAGGCTTTTTCATCATTAAGGGTGGGGACCAGCAATGCAACGAGCGACCTACCACTGCTTTCTGCCCACAGGGTTGGTGGGTAGCACTTCAGCTCAGTTGTTGGGAAAAGCTTGTATCTTGTAGCTGACACTCTTAATTGTGAAAGAAAAGCTAAGATGGTCCTTATGAGAAAGGAAAAAATGAACCAGAATTTTTACTGAATCTCTGCATTGCTGAAGATCTGGGTATGACTTGCCAACCTCCATTCTAAAACATTATGTTTTTTTCTTTTTGTACTCTACCTTGCTAATATTTATTTTAGCATTGTATTTCACTTGCATTTTACTCTTTACTTGATATTTTAAATTTGACTGCTCGTTTCCCCAATAAAAATAATTTGAATGTCTTGCATTTTTGCTTTTGTTGTTATTCCCCAAAGAAATTATGCTATTACTTTGAATTTGCATGTGTTATGTGCGTGTAAAGTTTAAAAAAAAATCTTTTAATTGGAAATTGTATGTGTGGTTCATGAAGATACCATTTCAATCTCTGCTTAAAGATTCCTTAATGGATCTCTATTCGGAGGTACTTTAAAGTTTGAACTGTGCTCCTATGCATGTCTGGAAACTTACATCAGGCTAAGCCAAAAGCAAACCAGGGTTTACTGCAACATTTTCAGACTGTGAGTTTGGACCCATTATTAGATTGCAGCATTGTTCTGAGTGAATCCCTTGTCTTCAGTCAGGTGATGACGAAAGGGATGTGAGCAAATGGCCAGATGTACTGAAGGATTAGAAATTAAAAGACGTTTTAATAGGAATCATGAACTACTGGCTATGTTCAAATAAATATTTCCTTCACAACTGAGATATTTCTTTCAGTGTTTTAGTTCTACCTTTAGTCCTACCTTCACTTACTAGTGCCACCATTTTGTAAATGGCTGACTTCAGGGATCTGAGTCCCCTCAAATGGGTATTGGGTGAGGAATGCTTGAGAATCCTTTGTTTAATCTAATCAATGAAGAACAGCAGAATAAGTATATTTGATAGCAATTGTAATGGGTTTCGGCAAGTTGTTACCCTTTATTGCACCTTAAATGATTGAGTGCAGTGGCATCCTGGGGGGGGGGGGTGTCACAGGAATCAGATTGATGCAAGTTCCGCCCCTTTTCTACAGGTGCATGCCCCAAAGGGGCAAAGCTTGTAGCATGATGCCCCAACACTGCTTTTCTCATTCTGAGAAAAGCAAGAGCCTGCCAGTGCCACTGATCAGGTAAAACAGGATTTTCTAAATCCATACTTTTAGCTGATGATTTTATAAGCATCACAAAATCCAAAGTCACAGAACTAACAGTAAATACAATTGTAATATGCATGCCTCTTGAAATAATAGACATGCATATTATTTCATATGAAAAATGTGTTATCCTAATTAATCCACTCAACATAGCTGAGCTTTAGCTTAAATATTATTCAATGGAATATTTAATGGAGATATTGAGTTTTGAAACCTACCTAATGAATCTGGATACTTAAGTAAGCCTCTTGAGAAGACATTTCTGAAAATCAATCCTTTTCAGTGGATGATTAATATCAGCTGAATGTGATCTTTGGAATAACTCTGATTGCTCTGAAGAATGGATAACACACATTGACTTTCCAGCATTTTTGCATTTAAGAAAGCTGCCATCAGGCACATGGACATATATAATTCTTTAAGTTTTATCATTCCTATACAGACCTTTTGGAGGCAATTAATAACAGGGATAAAGATTCTTAACCATCTGCTAATGATGAATTGAATCCAAAACCAATTTTAAACAGTAGACATAAGCCTAAAGCTACTACACATAGTTTATTGTCTTAACTGTGGAAAACCTCCCACTTTCTGTGAAAGCTGGTTTATGTAACCTTTAGGAATATGGCCAAGCTATTTTCAGTTTTGGCTAAAAGCCCAGATGGGTGGGTGGGGCAAAGCAGCTGTCAGAAAGATCCATTGTAAATAGAATGGACCCACCATGCATTAGGAGCCAACCACCATTAGGAGTTAGAAAAACAAGAGTTGGCAAAACTGTTCCTTGGCAAGTGACAAGTGTGAAGGTTGGAAGGACCAGGGTCAGACACAAAGAGCCTGAGACCAGACTGATTTGATCAAATAACAATGGACAGATGTCAACTAGTCCTCCCACAAACAAACGACCAGCTCTCAGTTCATTAGGAGACACAGATGGGAAAAAAACGCTTTGGGCCTGGGGAGAGGCAGATAGAGATAGAGAGAGAGAGATACTGGAGAGAGAGAGAGAGAGGCAGAGCGAGACGGGGAGAGAAATGGCATGAGGCTTATGGCTGACAGCTGCTGGTTTTGTGCTCTAATCACAGTATTTCTACTCTCTGTAATGAAACTAGCTTCTTGAAGAACAGTGTTTTTGAATCTTTTCCTGCTAGCCTTCAAGTCTGACTAACAGTCTGGTGAAGCCTGACAACAGGGATTCACATCACATTGACTCTTTTGCGGAGTGTGCATTACATTCTGAGCCAAACCCAACCACGCCGCAGTATATCTTAATGTGATGGCATTGGTTGCAGGGTTAGATGCTGCATTATAAGAAAGTAAACATTCTCCAATTAGAAAATTGGCACATAATGGCTAGGATACAATTCTTTGCAAGGGTGTTTAATTCTATATGTATAGATGGTTTTATAGATATGTATTATCCTCGGTCACAGTGACCCAATGATTCTAGTGATCCAGTTTCAAGTGGCACAGTGCAGAAGAAATGTATGTATTTCTTAGTACTAGCAAACTTGTTGTATGACAGTCTTCTCAAACCTTGTGCTATCTAGTTATATAGGACTGTAGTTCCTATTACTTCCACTGGGAACTGGGAATGATGGGATTTGCAGTTATAGGCCAAGACATTTGGCTGGCACCAGGTTAGGGAAGACTGCTACTGAGTTAAACAGTGACATCTTTCACTTGTGAGCAAAGACATTTGAATTCAGAATAACCACTCTAACAGCTGCAAGTTGGATCGGTGGGCAGTTTGCATCACTGAAAACGTACTGGGACCTGGTCTTTAATGCAAATATTTAGACTTTGTTTCACAGTCCTTTGGAAAATGATTGCCGCTGCCAAATTAAATCCTCAGGAGGTAGGAATTTAAATGCTGTGATGCAGAGCACATCTGCTCTTTATACAGATTCCTGTGCAGCTTCATATGATTGAAAAGACCAACTGTGCGCTCCTTAACAATAGTTTCATGGAACTACATTCATTTATTTATCTTTGGAAACTACTGTTTCTACTTATCTCATTTTAGCATTATGTGACATACAGCTTTGCCACTAAAAAATGGGGGACAGGAGTTTGGGAATGTACCCCCAAATTTTCATTCCTATCATTCAGACCCCAACTTCTTAACATTGAGGGGAAACATTTAAAATAAACTTCTACTCTTCTGTGTTTGAAAGCAAGTGAAACATAGGACCTAATAGTTCAATTTTCTTCATTGTCCCCTTTTTTTTAACACCTTGTCTGATAAAAGTTCTGGAAAACTTGAAAGATTTCATATTCTTTTGTGCTATTTGGGATGATCCTAATAAAGACATTGCCATCTATGGACATTGATGAAAACTGGGTTAGCCCCACACATGAATAGGAGTAGATCCTTCTTCAGATCTCTGCTCCTCTCCTTCAGGCTGAGGACTGAAAGGACAGGGATCAAGAAGATAGTGGTGGCAAAGGACAGGGATCAAGATAGTGACTTTCTCCACTGCTGAACTGAAATGCTCTCCACTAAGCTTGGAGAGGATGGATAACTAATCTGTGGTCCCCACTGCCAGTATTTAACCTGCCATTATTGTCTCTGTTCCCAGTTACCACAGACTCCTGACTTCCCCCAAGATAATAGGTGACAAAGCCTAACAGATTGTATAACTCTGGGGCTACCTTTGGACAGAGCCAGTCTTAAGGGGGAAAATACTACTTTAACACAAGTACAGCTAAAAAACTATTTAAGCTTATCTCACTCATGAGTTAGGGCAGTGTTTCTCAACCTCAGCAACTTTAAGATCTGTGGACTTCAACTCCCAGAATGGGAGTTGGCTGGGGAGTTCTGGGAGTTGAAGTGCACAGATCTTAAAGTTGCTGAGGTTGAGAAACACTGGTTTAGGGAATGAGAGGAAGGCAACACTAAGGGAATGCAGAAGAAAAAAGATGTTGCCAGGGCATGTTTTGCCATGGTTAGAAGTAGGAGAGGAATGGCTTAAAAATGTTTGCATGCAGATTTCCCCCCAAATACTCCCATCTGCAGTTGTTACAGCAGAAGGTGTTAGTGAAAAGAGTCTTGGTTTAGTAATAGCTTCACTAAACAGTACAGCAGACAATTAAATCGCAAGAAATGGGATTTCAGCTAAACATTATGCAGGACATTAATTGGATGAGTGTTTGTTGAATTGAACAGAGATGGCCTGAAAGACTGTCTCAAAAAGTGATGGATTCTCTTTTCCTTAGAGATTTTTAGTCAGCAATGAACACCTTTCAGGGATGAATGTTGAAGCAAGGGATTATCTGCTAGGAATTTCTCAACTCTGCAATTCTACCAGCATAGGTTGATGTAAATGAAAAAGGAGAGGAGATGGACATAATAGGAAGGGGGAAACACTCTCAGGTCATTTCTAGTTTTCATTTCCAAAAGCTCTTTTTAAAAATATTTCCTTTTAAAATGTCACAAGGCAAAGTGTAAAACAAAATGTTACAAAAATCACATTTAAATAACTCCAATGACTTAGGCTTGGGTTGGACTTCCTTCCTGGCTTAACAAAAGCCAGGAAATGCAAAGCTGACTTGTAATACAGTATCTCAAAGAATCAGCCTCTTTCATTTTTTAATTCAAACAAAAATGGCACAATTGCAGAACAATTATTCTGAACTGTATCTGATGCATAAAATATGGCTGTTCATTTTTAATATATGGAACACATACAAATCAGGACTGTTTGTATGTTGTACATACAGTTGTCTCATTTCAAGCTTTAATTCCCCCATCAGTACAATACAGTCATCAAGCATATTATTGACCATACAATCTCTTCCTCTTCTTCTGGGTGGTAATAATAATAACAATAATGAGAGATGAGATATCCCATCTTAATTTTTAGAATTTAAGAGAGGATATAAAGCATCCCTTCACTTTTATATTCACTACAAATCCTTCGGGTAATTTGGGCTGAGCAATGGTGAGTGGCCCAAAATCACTCAGTGAATTTCCATAGCTGAAGATGGATTTGAATCTGGATCTCCCTGAAATTTGAAAAAAATCAAAAGCAATTAAAAAAAAACTGACAGAAGGCAAGGTTGCTAGAGGCTACTGCTAATATCAACAGCATGAGCCTACAAGAACTCAGAAAAGCAGTTAACGACAGACAATCTTGGTTAAATGTCCATAAAGTAAGGAAGAATCAGAAGTGAATGAATGCTTGAACACCACCACCACCCTGGTCCCAGTCCAACACCTCAACCACTAAAAAACATTGGCTTACAAATGTTGACTCTGCTCTCTAATTCCACCATTGCTACCCCCCATGTTTAAACAAGTTGTTTGGGTGAATGTTTTAACATCCCAACAAAATAGAAGTATCATGCTAACTTCCCTACATTTACTCAATGAAATATTTATCCCCATTTCACTGAAAAAGTATAAGAATTTGTTCAAATGTTGAAAAATTGCTGTGGAAAATTGGTGAAAGTACAATATGCAGTCTGATTTGGGGGAGAAAAATGTAATAAAGAGAAATTCATTGAGAGACTTTATTGTATGAGCTCTTGGCCTCAAGTACTTTAATCTATACACTTTTACATTTTTCATACTTTCATATTATTTTGCAAAGGCAACAGTCAAGGCATTGTGCTTTATGGCTCTTGTACACAATTTGATGAACAAATTCATGGTGACAGGAGAACCACATGAGGCTAATTCCTCATCACACACTCAGAGAAGAAGACTCATTTCCCACCAACTCACCATGATTTCACAGCTGCAGTTTTACTTGTCGGACCATTTCCTGTATAAATCAGTACTGGTGCTATGAAGAACAACCCAGGATTAATTTTTCCTTTTTCTTTTTCCAAGAAAAATAAAAGACGTTCAAAGGCCACAGATTACACACTGATAGGAATGTGTAATCATTAACTGATAATGGTAAACTTGTACTGTGGCCAGCATCAAGGACTGTTTGCTTAATAAACTAGTGATGTTTACAGGTGGCCTCTAAGTGCTTGACATCACTTTTCTCAAATGGACTTTATCCTCTTCCTTGTTATGCCTGGATTTGAAAGTATTAAATTCCAGTCTCTGAAAAGGATTGTGCCACACCGAGCACCAAACTCTATCCAACATTTAAAGGTCCTACTTGCAGGAGTGATTTAAATGCTGATGAGGCTGGGAAAGGAAGGAAGAAGCCTCCCGTCAGTCCCATGAAGGACCAAGAACATGGTCACCGAGATCGTCTCTGAGCCATGAGGTTCAATAGGGGAACTTTGGGCCAATCAGTATCATTCAGCCTCATCTCTCACAAAGCTTGTATGAAGACAACATGGATTGAAAGGAAAATCATGGAACCTATGCTGAACTCCTTTAAGAAAGGACAGGAGAACAATGTTATAAAGAAAATAAAAGAAATATACAATGTGGAAGTACTGTATTCTAGATCAGGTTGGTTGGCCCTTCATTACTTCAGAAGTTCCCTTTCCAATTTTTAAAAGCAATGAGACCCAGTAGGACAGCATTGGCAGGGCCAGCCCTGAATGGGATAAAGTAAGAAGATAATTCCCATTAGTTTTCTTAGGATATATATCTATAACAGATATTTTAGTATGGTAGCTATTTAGTTTCTAATAATACAGGGCCATTTTTTTCTGAAGCAAGGTAAGGGATGTTGTTGAATGATAGTAACAGGGTCAGTATTATGAGTATTAATAATTTTTGGATATTACATAGCAGATTGTAACAGAGACAAGGACCACCATTCAGATGCTTCCTCAGTTGCTAACTTGTGGCCAGGAGTAGTGTGTGTGTGTGTGTGTGTGTGTGTGTGTGTATACATTCAATTTGTATGGCTGCCA